GTTTTGGGACTGCAAATGGGGGGGGGGAAATAGCAGTAAAAATTACCAATAAAAAATAAATAAAATCAAATAAAAATCAAATAATAATAAAAAAATCTAATCTAATATAAAATAAATACGAATAATGAATAATCAAATATAAAATAAAATAATAATTAAAAATCAAATCAAATATAAAATAAAATAATAATACAAAATCTAATCTAATATAAAATAAATACTAATAATAAATAATAAAATATAAAATAAAATAATAATAAGAAATCTAATCTAATATAAAATAAATACTAATAATAAAAATCTAATATAAAATAAAATGATAATAACATAAAATAAAAGCTTTGGGACTGCAAATGGGGGGAAAATATCAGCAAAAATTACCAATAAAATAAAAAAAACAAATCAAATCAAATAAAAATCAAATATAATATAAACTAAATAATAATAATAAAATATAAATTATAATATAATAAATAATAAAATAATATATAAAATATAAAATATTTTAGAAAATCCAATTGCTTTGAAATATTTGGATATAGCTTTTCAAAAAAAATACAGTTGCTTTTGGGTATTTTTTACTTTTAGGGAAAAGTATTCGAATCTTTGGATTTTAAGCCTAAAATAAAATAATAAAATAAAATAATAAGTAATAAAATAAAATATTTGGATATGGCTCTTTTATCCAATTGTTTTTTGGTTATTTTTGGACTTTTAGGGGAAAGTATTTGGATTTTGGAAGGAAGGGATTTTAAGCCTAAAATTAAAATAAAATAAAATATTTAGATATGACTTTTTTTATCCAATTGCTTTTTTATTTTTGACTTTTAGGGGAGTGTATTTGAGCTTTTGGGAAGAAGGTATTTTAAACCTAAAATAAAATATTTGGAGATGGCTTTTTTATCCTATTACTTTTGGAGATATATATATATATATATTACTTTTAGGAAAAAGCATTTGAGCTTTGGGAAGAAGGAATTTTAAGCCTTGGTTAGGAAGCCCAAAAATGGGCAAAATTTGTTTCCCCCAAAAATGGAAACAAATTGAAGCACATTTCTCCCCAAATATCGTAATAACAACAACAAGCAGGAACAAAGGAGAAGGAACCGATGTTTGTCATCTCCAAAAGTGTCTGGAAGTGTCCCGTGCAAAGTCGGAAAAGGTCAAGTAATAATAATAATAATAATAATAATAATAATAATAATAATAATAATGTCCGACGTGTGATCCATTACAAAAGCCAGCATAGCGATCTTGTTTATGGTGGACTAATATGGATGTGCATCAAATAATAATACTAATAATAGTAATAGTAATATGCACCTGGGTTTACCAAACAGGACCATGCACAGGTCAGCCAGGTAGGGCTATAGACATGAATGATGATGATGATGATAGCAATATATTGATAATATCATCATCATCATCATCTGTCCGGGATCATTCTAGGAGGATAAGATTATGTGCAACAGCCCTCCCATGTCAGACAGGTAGGATTATAGACAATAATAATATAATGATAACATTATCACAATAATACTCCATCCGGGTTCCACGTCAGCCAGGTAGGGTTATAGATATGGATGATGATGATGATGATGATGACAATATGATAGTATCATCATCATAATACTCTATCCAGGCTTGCCATGCAGGAACATGGAGGCACAACATCCCTACCAGGTTGGCCAGGTAGAGTTATAGACATAAATGATGATGATGATGATGATGATGATAACAATATAATGATAATATTTCAGGGCCATGGTGACACAACAGCCCTCTTAAGTCAACAAGGTAAGGTTACTGGGTTGTTGTAGGTTTTTTTCGGGCTATATGGCCATGGTCTAGAGCAGGGGTAGGGAACCTTTGGCCCTCCAGCTGTGGTGGACTTCAACTCCCACAATTCCTTGAGGCTCGGCATTGGGCCAAGGCTTACCTTGGCCCAATGCCGAGCCTCAAGGAATTGTGGGAGTTGAAGTCCACCACAGCTGGAGGGCCAAAGGTTCCCTACCCCTGGTCTAGAGGTATTCTCTCCTGACGTTTCGCCTGCATCTATGGCAAGCATCCTCAGAGGTAGTGAGGTCTGTTGGAACTAGGAAAAAGGGGTTTATATATCTGTGGAGTGACCAGGGTGGGACAAAGGACTCTTTTCTGCTGGAGCTAGGTGTGAGTGTTTCAACTGACCACCTTGATTAGGTCAAGAATAGGGCTCCACAGTCACCTTAGATATTTTTGGATTCTAATGCTAATCAAGGTGGTCAGTTGAAACATTCACACCTAGCTCCAGCAGACAAGAGTCCTTTGTCCCACCCTGGTCATTCCACAGATATATAAACCCTTTTCCTAGTTCCAACAGGCCTCACTACCTCTGAGGATGCTTGCCATAGATGCAGGCGAAACGTCAGGAGAGAATGCCTCTAGAACATGGCCATATAGCTCGAAAAAACCTACAACAACCCAGTGATTCCAGCCATGAAAGTCTCTGACAAGGTAGGGTTAATGAATAATGATAATATAATACATTGATAATGATATTATAATATATAACGATAATATTATCATCATAATACTCTGTCCGGGCTTATCGTGCAGGACCATAGAGGCATAGCCACCCTCCCAGGTTGGCCAGGTAGGGTTACAGTCAATAATAATAATAATAATAATAATAATAATAATAATAATAATAATATACTTGGTCTGGGTTTGCCAGGCATGACCATGATAGCACAACAGCCCTTCTGGGTTGGCTGGGTAGGGTTATAGACATGAATAATAATGATAATATGATAATAATAACAACAACAACAACAACAATATAATATAATATCATGGTAATATTCTGGACTTGCTAAGCAGGACCATGGTCGGCCAGGTAGGATTATAGACGATGATGATGATGTTGATGATGATGATGAAAACAATATAATGATAATATTATCATAATACTTGGCCTGATTTTGCCATGCAGGACCACGATAGAACAACAGCCCTTCTGTGTTGGCTGGGTAGGGTTATAGACATGAATCGTCATGAATAATAATAATAATAATAATAATAATAATAATAATAATAATAAATATAATGGTAATATCCTGGACTTGCCAAGCAGGACTATGGTCGGCCAGGTAAGGTTATAGACATTATTGATGATGATGATGATGAAAACAATGGGTACGGTTTTGCCATGCAGGACCATGATAGCACAACAACCCTTCTGGGTTGGCTGGGTAGGGTTATAGACATGAACAATAATGATAATATAATAATAAATTAATATTAATATAATATTAATATAATATAATGGTAATATCCTGGACTTGCCAAGCAATATTCTGGGTTGGCTGAGTTATTATGTTGTTGTTAATGTCTATAGACATGAATAATAATGCTAATATAATAAATAATAATACAATAATATTAATGTAATATAATATGATGGTAATATCCTGGACTTGCCAAGCAATATTCTGGATTGGCTGGGTATTGTTGTTGTTGTTTTGTTTTGTTGTCTATAGACATTAATAATAATAATATAATTAATAATAATACAATAATGTTAATATAATATAATGGTAAGATCCCGGACTTGCCAAGCAATATTCTGGGTTGGCTGGGTAGTATTATGATGATGTTGTTGATGTTGTTAATGTCTATAGACATTAATAGTAATGATAATATAATAATAAATTAATATAATATAATATAATGGTAATATCCTGAACTTGCCAAGCAATATTCTGGGTTGGTTGTGTAGTATTATGTTGTTGTTGTTGTTGTTAATGTCTATAGACATGCATAATAATGATAATAATAATAATACATTAGCATTAATAAATATAATATAATATAATGGAAATATTCTGGACTTGCCAAGCAATACTTTAGGTTGGCTGGGTAGTATTATTATGGTGTTGTTGTTGTTGTTGTTAATATCTATAGACATGAGTAATAATGATAATAATAATACATTAATTATAATATAATATAATATAATGGAAATATCCCGGACTTGCCAAACAATATTCTGGGTTGCCTGGGTATTATTATTATCATTATTGTTGTTGTTGTTATTGTTGTTGTTAATGTCTATAAACATGAATAATAATAATCATAATAATACATTAATTATAATATAATATAATATAATATAATGGTAATATTGTTGTTGTTGTCTATAAACATGAATACTAATGATAATAATAATATATTAATTATAATATAATATAATATAATATAATAAATATAATATAATATAATATAATATAATATAATATAATATAATATAATATAATATAATGGTAATATCCTGGACTTGCCAAGCAACATTCTGGGTTGGCTGAATAGTATTATTATTATTTTGTTGTTGTTATTATTTTGTTGTCGTTGTCTATAAACATGAATACTAATGATAATAATAATATATTAATTATAATATAATATAATATAATATAATAAAAATATTGTTGTTGTTGTCTATAAACATGAATACTAATGATAATAATAATATATTAATTATAATATAATATAATATAATATAATAAATATAATATAATATAATATAATATAATATAATATAATATAATATAATATAATATAATGGTAATATCCTGGACTTGCCAAGCAACATTCTGGGTTGGCTGAATAGTATTATTATTATTTTGTTGTTGTTGTTGTCTATAAACATGAATACTAATGATAATAATAATACATTGAATATAATATAATATAATATAATATAATATAATATAATGGTAATATCCTGGACTTGCCAAGTAATATTTTGGGTTGGCTGAGTAGTATGATGATGATGATGTTGTTGTCGTCGTTGTTAATGTCTATAGATATGAATAATAATAATATAATAACAATACTACAATAATATTAATATAATATCGAATGGTGATATCCTGGTCTTGCCAAGCAGGACCATGGCAGTCCAAGGACATCCCTGCGAGGTGGTCCAGGTGTGTGTCCCCCTTCCCCCGTGTGCAGCTTACCTGTGCGGAGGCGTGGCCGGGGCCGGCGGGGCTCCCGAAGGAATCCACGGAGGAGGAGAGGCAGTGGGACTCGGCCAAGGAGGGGCTGGAGCTGCACCGGGAGGCCGCCGAGTCGTAGTCTCCGCCGCTGCTGCCGGGGAAGCCCTGGAACATCTCCCCGGGGGGCGTGGGAGACCCCCTGCGAGTCCCGGACGCCGCTTCCCAAGTTCCCACGAGTCCACGCGAGTCCGAAAGAGATCCCCGCGCGGAATGAAGCCCTTTCCCTTCCGAGATCCCCCAAAAGCCTTCTCCCTACTCAAGCCATCCGCGGCGAAGTCTTCTCCTCGGTGTCTCTCTCTCTCTTCTTTCCCCGCGTGTTTCCTTCCTTCCTTCCTTCCGTGGCGAGTTTTCCTTATGAATGAAGTGTGAGCGGGAGCAGCGCCTCCTCTTTATACCCGAGGGGCCCGCCCCCTTCGTGACGTCACGGCAGGTTCTCCCCCCCTCGCCCTCCCCTCCCCGAAGTGGGTCCTCTGCCTCTGCTTCTCTCTTCCACGCGAGCTCGGTCTCCCTTCCTTCCTTCCGCGTCCCCTTCCCCGTCTCCTCTGTCCGCGGCGGCGGAGCGAGCGCTCCTTTTTGAACACCCAGAAGCCGGGGATCCCCTTAGCTCCGCCCCGGCGGAGTTCCTGTGACGCAATTAGCCATATATGGTCTTGTCTCTCGGCCCTGTGTGTTTGTTTGGTATCCTAGCAATGACGTCAGAGGGAATCCCTTTCTCACAGGCCGCGCCGACAATGCCGAAGCCGAAGCCAAAGCCAATGCCGGCGGGCTTTCGGAGGATGGAAGGAGGGAAGGAGGGAGGGAAGGAGGGAGGGATGGCTTGCGGCTCCTTCCTTCTCCCAGGCCGTTCTTCCAGAAATGCCTCGAAGGCTGAGGCCCGGCCAGGGAGGGAAGAAGGGCGCCAAGTTTGGAAGGAGAGCCAAAGGAAAGGGGAAGGGTGTTGCTGCTCTCCTTCTCCTCTCCTTCCTCTCCTTCTTCTCCTTCCTCCTCCTCTCCTTCCTCTCCTCCTCCTTCCTCTTCTTCTTTTTCCTTCTCTTCTACTCCTTCTCCTTCTTCCTCTCCTCCTCCTCTTCTTCCTTCTATTCTTCTTCTCCTTTCTCTTCTTCTCCTTCTTCTCCTTCTCCTTCCTCCTCCTCTTCTTCCTTCTATTCCTCTTCTTTTTCTTTTTCTTCTCCTTCTTCTTCTTCCTCCTCTCCTTTCTCTTCTCCTCCTCCTCTTCTTTCTCTTTTTCTTCCTCCTTCTCCTTTTCCTTCTCTTCTACTCCTTCTTCCTCTCGTCCTCCTCTTCTTCCTTCTATTCCTCTTCTTCTCCTTACTCTTCCTCCTCTCCTTTCTCTTCTCCTCTTCCTTTTCCTCCTCTTTTTCTTCCTCTCATTCTTCCTCTTCCCCTTCGTCCTCTTCTTCCTCTCTTCCTTCTATTCCTCTTCTTCTCCTTCTTCCTCCTTCTCTTCTCTTCTACTCCTTCTCCCTCTCCTCCTCTTCTTCCTTCTCCTTCTCCTTCTCCTCCTCCTCCTTCTTCTTCTTCTTCTTCTTCTTCTTCTTCCTCCTCCTCCTCCTCCTCCTCCTCCTCTCCCTTTTAGGGGGTGGTTGTTGCTGCTGTTGCTGCTCTCGTTCTCCTCTCCTTCCTCTCCTCCTCCTCTTCTTCTTTCTCTTCTTCTCCTTCTTCCTCCTTCTCCTTTTCTTCCACTCCTCTTCTTTTTCTTTCTCTTGTTTCTCCTTCCTCTTCTACTTTCTCCTCCTATCCTTCCTCTTCCTTTTCCTCTTCTTCTTCCTCTCATTCTTCCTCTTCCTTCTTCCTTCTATTCCTCTTCTTTTTCTTTCTCTTGTATATCTCCTTCCTCTTCCTCCTCCTCCTCCTCTCCTTTCTCTTTTCTTCCTTTTCCTCCTCTCCTTCCTCTTTCTTTTGCTCCTCCTCTTCCCCTTCTTCGGCTTCTTCCTTCTATTCTTCTTTTTATTTCTCTTCTTCTCCTTTTATTTCCCTTCTTCTCTTCTCTCCTTCCTCTTCTTTTTCTTTCTCTTCTCTTTCTCCTTCCTCCTCCTCTCCTTTTTCTTTTTCTCCTCCTCCTCCCCTTCTTCCTCTTCTTCCTTCTACTCTTATTTTTCTTTCTCTTCTCCTTCCTCTTCCTCCTCTCCTTTCTCTATTCCTTTTCCTCCTCTTCTTCCTCTCCTCCTACTTTTCCTCCTCTTCTTCTCCTTTCTCTTTTCCTTCATGTCATTCTTCCTCTTCTTATTTTTGGTTCTTCTCCTGTTCCATTTCCTCCTTTTCTCCTTCTTCCTCTCCTCCTCCTTCTCCTTTTCCTCTTCTTCTTCCTCTTCTCCTTTCCCTTCTTCTTGCTTTTTCTTTTTCTCCTCCTCCTTTTTCTCCTTCTCTTCTCTTTTCTTCTCTTCTCTTTCTCCCTCTCCTCTTCCTCCTCCTTTCATCCTTTTCTTCTCCTTTTCCTCTTCCTCTTCTTCTCCCCCTTCATCTTCTCCTCCCTCCCTTTTCTTTCTCTACTTATTCTTCCTCCTCTATTTATTTATTTATTTATTTATTTATTTATTTATTTATTTATATCCTACTTTTATTTCTTTGGTTGAGATGCAAAGCAACTCACAGCCATTTAAAAACACAATGCACATCTTTTAAAAAACAATTAAAATTATTATTTAATCATTGCTGGTCTCATTATTCCATTATTCTCTATATAACATGAGGACTGCAACTTCCATCATCCCCTATTCTAGATCCTTGGAATTGCATTGGGAAAAGGGTTCGAGGTAACACAAGGAGATGGTTTACACTGCAGAGCTGTAGCAGTTTGACCCTCCTTCAAGGCCCATGGCCGCCTGGGATTTGTAGTTTGCGGTGACCCCAGAGCTCTCTGGCGCAGAAGTGTAAATGTAGCGCACAAAACTACAGATCCCAGCATTCCAGAAGAGGGAGATCATTTTGCCATTGCAAAAAAGGGTGAGAGAGTGTGACTTGCCCAAGGGTGAGTGGAAATTCGAACCCATGTCTCGGAGTCAATGCTCAAACCTAATAGTAATTATTATTATTATTATTATTATTATTATTATTATTATTATTATTATTTATTTATTGCCCACTTTTTGGCTCAAAATGACAAACCATGTCAAAGACTTCTCATTTTTGAAACTGAACATCAATATCACTGTGTGTGTGTATGTGTGTATCTGTGTGTGTGTGTGTGTGTGTATATGTAATGTTCATTTGTGGGATTAACATAACTCAAAAACCACTGGACGAATTGACACGAAATGTGGACACAAGACACCTAACTAGTCTCCATCACCCCTACACTCACACACTCACACACACACACACACACACAACCCCCGTGGAACAGACTTAAAAACCAAAAAATACACCATATATACATACACATACACACATTATATACACACACACGTATCTGTGTATGTGTGTGTATATATATATATATATACACACACACACACAAATACACACACACACATACATATATACACAAAAATATGCATATAGACAAGCACACACATATATACAATATGCATCTACACTGATAAACCCACAAATACACACATATACATACACATACATATATATATACACAAAATATGAATATAAACAAGCGCACACATATACACAATATGCATCTACACTTATAAACCCACAAATACACACATACATACATATATACACAAAAATAGGCATATAGACAAGCACACACATATACACAATATGCATCTACACTTATAAACCCACAAATACACACACATACATACACATACGTACATACAAACACAAAAATATGCATATAGACAAGCACACACAAATACACAATATGCATCTACACATATAAACCCACAAATACTCACACACACATACATACATATATACACAAAATATGAATATAGACAAGCGCACACATATACACAATATGCATCTACACTTATAAACCCACAAATACACACACATACATACACATACGTACATATATACACAAAAATATGCATATAGACAAGCACACACATATACACAATATGCATCTACACTTATAAACACACGAATACACACACATACACACACATATACACAAATATATACACACACATAAACTCATATACACACACACACAAAACATATATACACAGACTAGGCCACAGCAACACGTGGCAGGGGACAGCTAGTATATGTGTGTGTGTGTGTGTGTGTGTGTGTGTGTATATATATATATATAATGTGTGTATGGAGAAAAATATAGTTTCTTGGGGTTAGAAAAATGGGGGAAGTCTATTTTGGGCCACTGATGGGTGTAATGAAGCAGAAAAGCCAACCACTTACCAGGAGAAGGAACTCCCTTTGGAACCTTGCTATAAAAAGGTAAAGGCAGCACGTTGGGCAGGTGTTTACAGGTGAGGCGGAATCCGCCCCTCCCAGGTTAATGGCTTTGTAGTTCTCCACCCAGAGACAAGCCGAGATAGAGGCCAAAAGGGGAAGATTATGCAACCTGAAAGGTGTGGGCATGTGGAAAGGAACTCAACTTTCCCCCTTTAATCGTTACAAGCTGGACCGTGACCTATTGCTCCTAGTAACCCTTGGGAGTTGTAGTTTCACAAGGTGCTTCCCTGTCAAACTGCACATCCCCGGATTCCACGACAGTTTTATGTAGTGTCAAACTGCATTAAGTAGCTTGGTTAGACACTACGCCGCTGGCAGAGAGAGGTGGCAGTCCTTTTGAAACTAGAACTCCCACCCTTCCATTGTAGGGAGCCATGGCAGTCAAGTGGCATCCATTCTACACCCTCAGGGAAAAAGTTATGGGGATCCTGGGAGTTGTAGTTTGCTAGGCATCAGCATTCATGGGCAGAGGCTGTGAGAACCCTTGGGAAACTACAACTCCCCCAATCCTCTTTGTGGTGCCAAACTTCATTCAAACAGTGCAGGTGCGCCTGAGTGGATGGGGACATTGGGTTTTTACATCCAGATGGAACTGTAGCTCAATGCTATGGAATCCTGGGAGTTGTAGTTTTACTAAAGGTGTTCCTACAGTAATAAGCATAATAAAAACAACAACAACAACAATGTAGAATGGATGAAATTTGGCCCCACTTGATCTGTTAGGGCTCAACACTATGGAGTCCTGGAAGTTGTAGTTTTACTAAGGGTACACCCACACTAATAAACACAACAACAACAACAACAACACACTATAGAATGGATGTTGTTTGACCCCACTTTGAACTGTTAGGTCCTAATGCTATGGAATCCTGGGAGTTGTAGTTTTACTAAGAGTACACCCACACTAATAAACACAATAATAATAA